TATAATAATATAACACTGATATACGGAACATTTCGACTTTACAGAGTCATCATCAGTCATAATTAAATTGTGAATTGAGTAAAAATATTTTTTAATTAATTTAATATATTGTAATTTATAAATGAATATACATACATTTGTGCGTGCGTGCGTGCGTGCGTGCGTGTGTGTGTGTCATGTTTGTATGTATATTTACATATAAAGGAGGAATACAAATTTATAATTACAGAACATGATGAACTTTATTTTAATATGATAAAAAGTTTATAATGTATCTATATACGCATTTTTTTTTATTTTTTAAGTTTCTTTTACTAGATCATACTGTAATTATACTCAATCTATGGTCTAGAAAGAAAAAAAGAAAACATATAGAAAAATTAAGAAATTGTTTATTATAAATTCTATACGCAGTTTACATACAAAATCGATAATATGCGATTTTAAACATGCTAATGTATAGATAAATATCACTTGACTTCACTTTATTTTACTTCACTGCACTTCACTTCACAATAATCCACTTCACTTTATTTTTTTTCACTTTACTATCAATATCTACAACAATTTGCAGGACATCACTAACGAATAAAAGCATACGAACTTAATACTGCTGTTACCGCCAATTACTACACAACACTTCTATGGTTAGAGCATGAAGGAAGATATAAGGAGACTCCACTCAGTCTCGCCAGTCTACAAAACATGGACCCATTTTAGGTTTCGAGTTCAGTTTCCGATTCTCAACACTCGCAGCGCTCGTGAATTTAGTAGTGCTGTGCATAATAAGTGCGAGTAAAGGAGCCTACAGACCAGAGCGGCGCAGCGGTGAAGCGGCGAGCGATAGCCAATGAGGGCCATACTTTTGAGTAAAAGTATGGCTCTCATTGGCTATCGCTCGCCGCTTCACCGCTGCGCCGCTCTGGTCTGTAGGCTCCTTAAGAGAAATGATCATTTCTCTTACTCGCACTCATCAGAATTGGAAACTGAACTCGAAACCTAAAATGGGTCCACTTTTATTTTACGGAGTGGAGTCTTCTTATATCTTACTTCCTGGGTTAGAGAAAGACCGAAAACGAAAACACAAAGAATAAGTGAGAGAAAAGTTCAGATGGCGTTACCGTATGTAATGTCTCAACTTGCGCATGCGCGTTACGATTTTGGCTTCACATAATGAATAGAGTTGCGCTACTGTATACTGGGCTGCGTTCAGAATCATCATCTGAGTGCACCCAGGTGTCGTGTTATCCTTGTTTATCATTCGTGAACAACAAGGATAAAACAACATCTGGGTGCATCCGGACGACGATTCTGAACGCACCCCTGTGCTTCCACCATGGCGTGAGTCCCATAATTAAAGAAAAAGATCGGTTAGTCCTTAACTTTTAAAATGTATTATACTTTAAGAACATTTTTCTATGTTCTAGAAAATCATGAAGAATTGTAATATTTCAATACGTTGCAAAAATAATTAAGAATTTTAATTGCAGTCTGAATTCAAAAGATCAATTTAGGAGGCAGAACTATGTCAGATGATTATGCGAGTAAATTTTAATATAAATTTTTAATATACTATAAATTTGTAAGTTTTTCTTATGTTCTTGTATTAATAACGTGCGACTCTTTCAGAATTGTGCATGCCACTTCCTAAAAGTAAGACCGATCATATCAAGATTTGTGAAAACACTCAGCAGTATGTTATTAACTTTTTACAAACCTTGTTGCCACCATCCGACCATAAATCTATTTCAGATGAGTTGCGAAAGGTATATACATAATATATAATGTTATTATTGTAATACATATATTATAATAAGCTAAGGTGTTTATGTGTGAACTGGTGATACAATCAGAAAGAGGATGATTCTACATAGCAAACTAAATTGGAAATTTAGAATATAATTTTTTTCACATAAGGCTTTGTTTTCGAGGAAATCAATTTTAAGTATTTACCTGATAGATATTGACTTAACTACGTATCTCAATATTAGATCTAGCTGTAGACTATAATCTTTGCTTATGTTTAGGTTTATTATACTAGGTAATTGTGAAAAAAGAATATTCACAATAAATCACAAAAATATCTTTAGTAAATTTAACAATTTGATAAACAAGATTTGACTTGAATTTGGACATTACCAACTGAATATTTTTTATCTCATATTTACGTTAAGTATAGTTGTATGTGCTACCATCATATATGTAATTTTATGTTTAATCGTTAATTTTATACTATTTTGTACTAAGGAGGATCTTAACCATAGGTGGAAACATATACGTTTTATTTGTTTCTCTAATAAATTGTATAAAGTGTACTCCAAGAGCTTGTGTTGGCTCACATAATCTTTTTTAATTTTGTGATTTATTTAACTGAACCTTTTGATTATCTTATATCTTTTAAATTCACAATAAATTTTATTACTTTATAAGTTATTGAAAATGTTGTCCATTTTGTTGAATACATAGTTTTGTCTTTGGAATAAATTTCTATGAATGCTTTCTAACATGTTTTGATGTTTTATCAATTAAATTTATATCCAATAAATATTTAAAATAGATTTTATTGAAAACAAAGTCTCACATGAAAATCATTTTATTATTTATTTTTAAATTATTGTTTTTATATAGAGAATTTCTTTACTGGTTGTACCTACAGTTCATAGATCCTGTAAAATACATAATGAGATAAACGAAAGAGTCATCACAAAATGGAAATATAATTACTGATTGACTAAGATTGCTTCTTAAAATTTTTTAGACCTTTATACTTAACAAGATCAAACCAAAGTACAAGCAGAAAGTGGGAAAAGGCAAATGTTTTTCTGCTAAGAAAAGATTGCGCTTTGGTTTAGGTAGGATTGGCAACAGAAATCAGATGAAGTACTCCGATGTTTTGCCTTTAAATGAATTATGGCTACAATACATGCAAGAGATGCTAGGTGTCGAGTCGTTTGCCGATATATCGGAGAATCCTCGAAATTGGGAGAATATAAATCTGCAATTGATAAAAGCCGATTTTCATGGTGCTAAAATTTCGATTGATAGATCCAAATGCCCCAGTCTGGTAGGGGTTACAGGAATCGTTATACAAGACACAAAGAATACTTTTAGGGTCTGTGGAATGGACAATATTATTCGAAGTAAGAGCGCAATAAACGTACATTGTCGATTTTTTTCTTGTAAAGATGTATCTGTCATAAAGTATATTATAAGCACTTACTGCTTTTCATTGTATATATACATGAATACAACAAATTCCATGGAAATTATAGTTTTAACAATATGATAGGTGGGAGAAAATTTAAGAATGATAAGTACTGAAAATGATAAAATAAGGAAAAATCGAAAATAACAAAATTATGATCAAAGTTTTGTTTGTAATATACATTTTTAATATTCATAAGTACTAGGTATTTTTATATGAATAAGTGAATATTTAGAATTACAGAATCAAGAATACTAAAATTTCGGTCGTGACTTTGTTAATCATTAATGTCTAAATACTTACGTAAAAAATGCTTCATATTTATAATTAAGAAATGAAGCTTTTTGTTATTCTTTCGATTTCTGATTTCTCATTTTATTATTTAAAAACATCCCTTTTTTCTCCCACCTGTTGCCAAACTCCATGTATATGTGTCTTTTTGTATTGCTAATGATTTTTATTAAACTATTTACAGCGATACCAAAAGATGTAGTTAAGATAAACATTTACTTGGATGATGGAGTAATACTAAAAGTGTTTGGAAGGGATCTTTCTACAAGGCCTGCAGAACGAGCAGTTAAGAAGTTAAAAAATAGTTCAATTGTAATGCTGTGATAAATATTTAATAATATATTGATAATTCGATACTCTCTCTCTCTACCTTCTACAAAGATACACAAATTAGTATTAAATCTTGATAAAAAAAAGTTGTTGCCAGGAAAAATAAAAAAATATGACAAAATCAATATACGGATAATAAAAGTATATGTGATTAAACCCTATGATCATTTTGTTGAAATTATTTTAATTTTTCGTATAGATGTTAGAATTATTTTATTTCTTCATATCTTTCAGCTTTCTTTGCAGATTATTATTATAGGATATTACAATTACAGGATGGGTAATGTATATTTACTACTTACATGATACAGTATTTATATATATAGTCGTATATATATATATATATAATATAGCATTATATTTATATATAATGTATACGCGTGTAAATCTCTTTGTGTCTCGTGTGTTTATATGGAAAGGTGTGCATAACTATTGAACAATAATGTATTTTTTCTTTTGGAAGTGTATTCACCCATGTTCCATTAAAACCGCAGTGGTCGAACATGACACTGATACAATGATAATTATTTTCAATTAATACAACAACTATATTTGTTTAATCAATCTCTACAATTTCATTTGGCTAAAAGTTTAGATCAAAGTAAAACATAGTATCAGGGCATGTTGCTGACCTTCTCCTCCTTTGACATAACAGTTTTAATATATAATATATACAGCTAGATCACTGCAAGATCAACTGTGGAGTACAAAAAAAACCAAAATGTCGCGCGATAGAGAAGACGAGGAAACGAGATAAGCGCGTTCGTTCTTCTATTATTACGTAATAAATTTTTTTTATCTGGGCACAATATTAATGTGACCTTTTCGCCGATATAAACTTTAGCTCTCCGCGCATTTTTTTTCTTTAAATAAAAAGACTACATATTATAACCTGTTGAGATATGAGAAAAAGAAATGATATATATATATATATTACTAAGTGATACAAATTTGCGCAGAATGGTAGTTTACACTCTCTTAGGAATGTTAACGGTAAGATGTACTACAAAATTAGTTTTTTTTTTCGCCTGTCGCACCTAATACATATTATCTTGATACAAAGACGTAACGCTTTATATATACGATGTAAAGATTAAAAAAAAAAGAGAAATACAAATGTTTAACAAAACATAGCTTTGTTATTTTCTAGAAATATGATCAAATTTATCTTAAAACTGCATAATTTAGGCATAGTTTGTAACAAGTTACTATAATGATTATAACGATCAATAACTTCGAATAAAATATTATGCACACACATTAGATGTGAAACCATAAACATAATGCCTATTACGTCTATGTGTGAAACGAGTAGAAAATATTACCAAAACTACGGTACATATGAAACGATGTGTAATAATGGACGATGTGTAATGCTGGACTTTGTTATCAAATTATCTTCCCTTAAATTCAAGGAATTAAAGATAATTTGACATTTATCTATAATTAATCTTTTTATGCGATGAACAATGAAAGATTAAAAACACGATACATAATGTAGATTGGGCAAAAAAAATCTCGGGCGGACTACTCCATGCATTGCAGTACATTAGTGAGACAATAAGATCTTGCCGTTCAATTTCGGTATCTATAATTTATTTTATGATTTATTGTGTTTACGCAAATCAAACTAACTTGTGGCGAACACGTGTCTTCGTATTATGTTCAAGCAAATGTACATACAGGTAGATCTAGAACGATGTATATGTTATAATAGGTACGCCAAATATATTCTGAAGTGTCTACAAGTTTTTCTCCATCTCGATTCGTCGTTATAATACTGATATAACGATACGCGATCTACCTCGAGCTAAAAGATATTCTTACATTGCAATTTTGCGAAGGATTCTTATTTTCCACTGTAATTCATCACACGCTAGAAGGTTTTGAGAATGTACATCTAGTACAATGCCAACGTTTTTTTTTTTCAAAACTAAAGAAAAAAGAGATGACTTAAAAAAAACATGTTTATATAAATGGTGAGAGAAATTGGAAGAAATTTCATCAAAAAGCAAGCGCTGAATAATCTGTACAGAAATTACGATATAATTGTAGATCTACAGTTGATTTTGCTTCCGAATTACGATATTGCCCAAAAAAGCTTGCTTCCTGTTAGTAGCCAAAAGAAAGGCACGTAGACGCACACACATATATATATGTGCCGGTAAAAGACAGGGAAATTATGCTTTGTTCACACAACATACATTTATCTTTTTCATTGACTGCAACGATAATTCAACAGAAAAATCTCGGTAAATCGCATTAAAAAAAGAAAATCTTTTCTTTTTTTTTTGTTTTACAATTATTTCCGAATAATTTTTAAAATTTTTTTACACAAAATCTGCGTTGAATAGCTGTTTAAACCATGAAATATAATTTACTCAACGTCTTCCCTATAAATTACACATTCACATTTAGGTAGCGTGTGATAGCGTATTAATGCCTTTTCACAATGCATTTCGCTATTCGATACACTATTATCATGATCTAAACGTGGCAATTCATCGTTTTCTAATGGTATTCATTCGTATTCACTTTGACGATATTAAGCTAACAAAACAATCTCATTCTACCTAAACTTTATAGAAAAGTAGACTTTGTTGATCTGTCTCCTTAAATGTATTTCACATACCGTAACCTTGGTAGGCTGCGGTGGGCGCGTACACTTGTGCGGGTGTACCGTATACGTTTTGAGGCGCGTAGCCAGGTGCCATCATTCCTGGCCCTGCGGTCAGCATTAACTGAGGTTCCGCTGTAATAAGAAATATTAATACCAGGTGAAATATTATCATTAATGTGGAAAACGGTTCATCGATTTTGCACATTTATGAGATGTATATATTCGCAAAAGTATATTAAAAAGGTCACTCACGCATGATCATAGGCTTGTGTTCCTGATGATCAGTTTCTTCAATGCGTCGGCTTTCGGCCTCTTCTAATTTATCGACCTGAATAAAATATAATTATTATTGTAAATACTCTTAACGGTATGAAGAATTAGACGTACGTTTTTTTTATGAATATCATATATATACCTTAGTAATATATTCCCGCGCCACTTGTATAAGATACGGCATTGCAAAATGTAAAATGCGATGTCTCCATGCGAGTTCCAAGATGACATCCGGGTGAAGTAAATCGTAACAATGAAATAAGCATGCTGCAAAACAGTCCTTAGAACCTCTTTCTAAAAACCACTCAAGTAATTCTTCGGCGACTTCTGCATTCCGGGATTCCGCCGCATATTCCATAGCGTCTCTATTATCGAATCAATAAAATTTCCACATATGTATACATCATAAATGTACCATAAACGTACATATTTGATTTAACACTAAAATCCCAATATCTCACTTGAACTGCCAAAAGTACCAATCTGATAATTTCCTTGTTTTCTATTAGTAAAGTTATTTTGATATTTATTACTTGTATTAGAAATTTATTTGTATTATATTCACATTTTTCAATACTACATATCTAATATAAAAAAGAAACAAATTTTAATGATTAGCGCAGCCAAAATGATACTATTGACGATTCTAGTATTAAATAATGTGCAGCATTGTTAAAAATTACCTAAATAGTCGATCCTTCTTGCAAAGCTCCACGGACTGCTTCCATCTATTATTTCCCTTGTACAGATATGCGGCGATTCTCCTGAACTCGATCAATTCGTGTTTTTCGAGTTGCATCGCCAACGCGATATTATCAAAATTATCGAATGCATCGATCGATGTTCGGAGACCTTGATAATCCTCTTCGTCGATTAACAAGCCGTTTAAGGCTTCGTTGATAGCTTTGTTATTGAGAGCCTGAACCGATCTCAAGTACGGCTTCACTAATTGCAGATGGCTGGTTCGCGTGAAATACGCTACTGATCTAGTATGATCCATGCGCGGAGCAAGCACGAGCAATATATCGTTCAGAAGAAGGGGTTTATATTCCACGTAAAAGTGTATAGCCTTATAATAGAGCTCGACGTTTGCAACTTTGGTGATTACGTCTTTAAAATGACCCTCTCGCCAAGCCTCAGTAGGATGTTGCATCATCGCTAGGACTGCGTTATCATATTCCTCATACTTGTCGTACAAAAACACTAACTCAGCCCACAAATGCGCTTGTTCCGCTGCGCGTAACACCTACAAGTCAATCATTATTAGTTCATTTCTAACAATGTAGATTAACCTTATATATATAATCTCAGTTTAATTTTTTACCTTTATTAGTTTTAAAAACAAAGGAAGGAAAAATTAGAAAAAGATAGAATAAATTTAATTAAAATCAATCCACATTAATAGAAATGTACATAAATAGTTAATTAAACTGTTATTGATTTTCATTTTGATCTAGGATAAACACTCACTTTCGGTATATTGACGCGCGACCAGAAGAGTTCCAAATGTTCCCTCATTCGTTGAGGCTTGTATTTACTATAGAGAATAGCTAGTTCAGTGAACATTCCCATGTGAGCTCGTTCAAGTCCTAGAGCAGCTTCCAAAAGATTAATGAGTTCTTCGAAATGTCCGCGATCTTGGTAATAATTAATCAAGTCTTCAAGCTCGTCCGCATGTACGACTATATGCAGCCCGCACATTTGTGCCAAGCGAAATTCGCCGCTATCTACGCAAGCAAAACAAACTTCCTTCCAGGTGCGCGTCGAATTAGCTTTTCGTGCACTATCGACGGCACCTTGAAACTCTTTTAGGTGGACCAACGTTATAGCTAAACGTGCGAAGTTGGATACATTGTTGTAGAGAAGCTTCGCGGCGTCATACATCTTATCATCGAAACATCTATCACCGATCTGCAAAAAGAGTAAAATATTCGTAAGGAATAGAATTGCACTTATGAATGCGAACTAGTTAGAGTTATAATAATACCATAAGATGTCATTATGAATTCATTTGTTGCTTATAAATAAACTTAGAAGTACCATACAAAATTTAATATCCCTTTATATTATTTTGGCTTTTATGTTTTACTTTGGGAATGGCTCTTTACCTTTTGTATGTCAGCGTGATTAGGGCCAGATATAAATTCTTCGAGATCTGCGAGTCTGTTGGTTCGTGCATACGCATATATTAATTCGCTTTCGATGAAGGATTCGCGTGCTTTCTTGCGGGCCATTTGGAGATAACGGACTAAATCCTCCCAGTGCGAAGTTCGATGCGCAGTTTCCACCACGTCCATGTACGCGGACGGATCGTCAGCTTTAATAAAGCTATCGATCGATTCTTTAACTAGACCCTGCTGCAGTTGAGCCCTAGCAAGCTGCGACCATACTGGCGGCTCGTTGCATCTACACATGAAACGGTTTATTTAAGTAAATTGTACAAAAATACACTATGCACACACCAAAGTTTGAAAACACTTTAAAAAAAAAAAATAGCATTTTTGAGATTACTTACTCAAATTTTCATGTGTTCTTTAATCATAATTGTTCGAGAGAGCAATCGTGGGTGTAACTTTTTTCATAAGACAGAAACGTGAAAAGTGAAAAATGTTTCCATTGCCCTCAATAATAAAAATTTCCACTTTTCATATTTTCGTCTTAGGAAAAGTTATACAATCGCTACTTTGAAAAATTATTATTATTAACAGAAACACATTGTTATGGATATTTGAATAAAAAGTATTTCCAAATTTTTGGCTTAGAATATACTATACCTTTCTGCAAATTCGTAAGCTCTGTCCAAGTTGCCGACTTGTTCAATTAGAACCTGAATAGCCGACGTGTTGACGTCAAACTTTTTGAAAATCGCAAAAGCTTCCTCGTAAAGTTCGTTGTTAATAGCAATGTTGGCGATATCCGGGGCGTCATAATTATCTAAGCGGTTAATATATTCCATGACGCGCGTACGATCGGCTTTGATGGCTGTTAATATTAAGAGATTCTGCAAGTTACGATGATCGCTAAACACGCTGCTGTCCAGTACTATTTTCTCGAGAAGTTCAATCAGTTCGTTAGGCAAGTCAGCAGTCATGAAAGCCTTGACAGTAACCGATATATCTTCAGGATCTTGCGTTTCAGATAACGCCGTCTGAACAACTTGATCGATCAACGGTCGCTTATACGGATTGCTCTCCAACAGCACTTCTGCCCAAAGATCAGGATCTCTACGTCTCACCAAATATCTGGCCTCACTCTTGAACAGGCTGTTCTCGTTGCATACGCTTATCAACTCACGGTCGCATTGGCCACGCTCGTATGCAATGCAAGCTAAGTGAGGATCGCGTTTCTCACAATATTTGCCAACGACTCTACTGTCATAGAATTGATTCTCTTTAAGAAATCTTTCGGGATTGTTGTTGCTGTCGATGTAGATCTTGGCCAGCGCGTTGTGCGTAGCCGGTTCCACACAACCCTCGTGAACGCGGGATTCCAACCATGGCAGCAACAATTTCAGCCGGTTTCTCTTTTCTACTTCCTCAACTAGTTCATCGGTGGAGAATTGTCCGCGCACCACCAGTATCAGATTCTTGATGATATCTTCCGAGCAGTCAACGTCCAATAGACCACCCACGACCACCGGTAGACGAGATGGATTTACCTTTTGGACATATATCTCGATGTATTTCTGTAAGTTGTTACGATAAAGATAGAGAACAAGATCGTGAACGAAGTCGAATCGATCGCACACGATTATTAAAGGCAATTGATCGGATAGTTTTGCTTCTTTTAGGAAATTCTTTACGCGTTCTGGGTTGTAACAATTGCTCTCTCGACATATACGCTCTACTTCCTTTATCTGACCAGTCTTGCATGCTGCTTGGATATATTTGAAGTGCACCTCTTGATCCTGGCTGAAATTCACGATAGATCCCAAGAAGTAGAACAAACCTTCATAAGACTTAAAACTCTCGAACAGATCTATCAACGCTTTAGTCGTTAATTGCTCGTGATATTTGGTCGCGATCTGTATGCAAATCTGCAAGTTCTGCCGTATGTTGGCCGTTAACATGGCCTTCAGGCACTCGAGAGAATCTTCAACGGACAGAGTACCGAAGAAACCTACGAGCCAGTCGGGAGAGAGCAGATGAGTATGTACCACCGCTCTTTTAATATCATATAAATCCGTGTAATGCTCGAGGGCGCGTTGCAACAAGCCAGCCTTTTCGCACAATTGCGCAACGTGAGCTCTATCGTAATGGGTAAACATTTGATTGCCCAATATAGCGTCAGCCACTTGCGGGGCAGACATTAAATTCATTTCTAAGAGGCGGGTTTGTAAGGCACCCTCGCTTGGCCGATTGTTCTTGAGCGCATCAAGCAGGAACGCAGTACATTGCTGCACCATATTCTGCTCCATAAATATATCGACAATCTGATTAATATCGGCCAATGGTTCGTCGTCCTGAACCAACATCTGTGCAAACGCCACACCCTGATCGGGATTAATCCTCATAACATTCCGCAGGAGAAATATGTAATCGGGCGTATACGAGACTTTCTTGGCGTATAATACGATCTTCTGAAATTGACCAGTCTCAGCGAAGCATTGAATTACTTTGTTGGGAACGTTGGCTCTCAAATAAACACTAAGTGCCAATGTGGGATCCGCTTGTTTCACTAGATCCCCCAACTCTTCGCTGCATTCCAGCTTATCTTCCTTCAGCCATTTCTCCAGCAGTTGCTTACGTCCTTGAACTAATACCGGTCGACATAACTCCAACGACTCGTACTTATTCAGTTGTCCCTGATCCAAAAGAATGCCAAAATACTGTAGAAGAGGCGACGTTTGACCCTGAGTAGCAGGGACTTGTTGAAATCGTTGGATAGTCGCTGGTGTTCTGAGTATTCCTTTAGGAGCATTTGCCGCGACTTTCGCTGCTTCCGCGTACTGACCGTTTTGGAAGAGCATATTGAATTTTCTTACGAACAAGTCTTCTGCGCCCGACAGATTGTTTCTCACGGCCATTCTCAACGCCAATTCTGAGTTCTGTAGCACACCATTAATGTACGGGATTATGTTCTCCTCGTCTACGGAGACGGACAAAACTTGACCCTTCCGATTCACTCCTATTATACCGCCAGACGCTTCATGCGGCGCAGTAACAAAGATCGTCTCTCCAGAGATACGATTCATAAATATACAGGTCGCGGACTCGATATCGTACATATGTATATAACCGTATTTCGTGATTAAATATATGACGTCATATTTGGAGCTAACTTGCATCGCGACGGGAAAATCGTTTCCTGCCTCAGGTGGGAAAAATACATCTACAGCTTTCTTGGGAAACGGATGGTTACCAGAAGGCGGCTGACCCACCTCGATGATGTGAAGCTTCGCGCCCTGGACCGTTCTAACAGCAAAACAGAACAGATTGCTTGGTTCTCCATTTCCTTCCATCTTAAACTGAGCGAAGGAGGCGGCGTGTCCCTCGATCGGTTGTGAACATTTACGTTCCACAGAGTAAAGCTGCATGGCGCCGACCACTCGATTATGCTGTGCCGAAATACCGATCAACAACAGCCACGTCTGCTTCGGATCTGTTCGGTAATTAATAATCTGGCAGCCATTTAATGACGAATGACGTTCGAACATCTTATTCGGCGTCGAGTCACCCTCCATGGACCAGTGGTACACTGCAGTCTCTGTTACTAATGCCAACGTGTTAAGTGATATCCATTTCCAAAAGACCACGTCTTCCGTCATTGTGTGAGCTTTCATCTTTGATTTCATTTCAATGTTGAAGATCTGAAGTGTCTTCATAGCTAAAAAAAACATTTCTCTTAACAATCCTCATTCTCTTTCAATATATCTATTATTATAGAATCACTACTACAAAACTTGCTTTAGAAAAATATGTGCAATAGATTACAATGTAAATTCCAATAAAAAACATAAATGACACAGTATATAAATCATTAGATACTCGTCACTGTTAAATAAAGATGAAATAATTACTGTTACACTGTGTCGTGTTTGTTGAAAAGCGTCATATGTTACATTGTATCACCTGTAGGTCTGTTCAGGTTGCTTGCACTTTTTATATTCAACCTTGCTTTTACTCTTTTCAACATATGAATACAATTTATCTCATTATAAGTAAAAAAATGTTTGAGAAATTTAAGCAATGTGAACAATACTTATTTTTTCTTTCTTATCCGAAAGCCGTCAATATTGCTTTCCAAGTTACAAATAGAATAAAATCAAAGTTTTCAATGTTTAGTTTCTACAGCTGAACACCTTTTCCTGAAACCGAGCACTCACATGTGCGTGTATGCATACCTTTAAGAGCGATGACTTTACTAGCAGGATTCATGATTGCAGAATCAGCAGATATTGGTCTTCTGATAGGATTGGCTGAATCATTCATATCGATGATCACTACCTGGGCAGTATCACCAACCTTCTCTCTAACGCAAATAAACTTGTCAGACTCCATAGTGAGGGTGTTAAAGCTGACATTACTAGCGTTAATTCCTACAGCTGTAAGCTGTAAAAATAAGAAACATAGATAGCCTTGTGTTCTTCAAACTCATGATTGGTTTTACATTTTATGAGAGCAAAAAAGTTTATTATTGAGTCAACTTTATTAACAATATATTTCTCACAATTCAAAAGTAATCAATATGTAAACATATGCTCTTTACAACAGAGATCAATACTGATTACAGACGTTATTGCTAATACAATTAGAAAATAAGATAAAACAGTAACAAAATAAATTTTTTAATTGACATTCCAACATTTTTGTAATTGTTGAAAGTTTCTGCTGATTGAATTATACTTTCAGATCTAAAGGGACAGTCCTATCACAAGCAAAAGAAACTCTCAACAGTGGCAGAATAAACATTCTGCTAAACACAACAAATGTGTAACGTTACTGTAATAGCTATATGTGTTGTTAAAATAAAGCATGTCTTGAGTTGCAACGTGTGGAGTACAAGCAGTTTGGTTTACATCATCCAACAAGCGTCTACGTGGAAAACGTGGAAAGGAACGACAGCATTTTCCACGACATCCGATGATGACGCATTGGGACAATGGGAGGATTGTATGCCGATAAGGTGCAACAGTTTCGGATAAAAGCGGAAACAAGGGGCGTATGCTAAACGATAGCGTTTCGGTGGAGAAGAGAAAACGAGGAGGGACAACCTAGGGCACAAAAAGTGTATTCGTTTGACTGGAATTGACACGGTATCGCGTTCAATTCCAGACGAATATCGGGGGGATAACCTGTGCCATATGAAATTCGCCGTGAGGAGAGCGCGAGGCAGAGTCGGGTGTGTGTAACGTCATCGGGTCTCGCCGCGTTCGGCTGACGGGGAGGGAGGGAAGGGGGGGAGAGAGAGAGGAGACGTTGCAACTGTCAGTAACGTCAGTCCCGAAATATTGCACTTCCGTTCCAGAGAGACGGGGGCGAGTAAATCTGTCGATACATCGACGGTTATTACGCACGCGAAAGAGAGAAAAATAAGGAGAAGGGGGAGAGATTAATGAGAGGACGAGAGATGCGGGGGCAGAGAAAATGTCCGGTGCGTTGAATGTCTTGAGAGAAAGGCCGACGTGGTAAATGCCGATGATGGGGCAGGCGCGGAGTTCATGGGGGAGGGGGGCAGACGTACCTGCAGGTGTTCCTGAAACCTTATGGGTAGTAGCTGGGTCATTTTCGCCGCGGTGTCCGACGAATCCGTCGTGGCGAGATTCTCAATCGCCGTTCCCGCCGTGATGCGGATTTAGATCTCCCCCGTAAGCGGTTGGAGATCTCTTCACGATTCAAAAATTCAATCCTCCTTACTTACGGATCTCGATCCCCCCGGGAGTCGTCGTGTGCGCCTCTCTCTCTCTCTCTCTATCAATCTCTATTCCGTCGCGGGACGCTCAACATCAATTCGTCGGAGAGCGTAAAAACCGACTGAGCGGAGAGCGAACATAAACGTCGCTACTCGCCGCTGACACCCATCATGGCCGCCAACGCCGCCCCTCTAACTCGAAATAGTTCCCGCGTATGGAGGATGTCCCTTGGAAAGATTCACTACGTGCGCGAAAGATTCCGGAGAGGTCGACGATCACGATAGTGAAATAATGACAATGCGCGCTAAAAAATTTTCTATCCAGGCGGTCGGCGAAGACAATCACGATGACGTTAGCGGAGAGTGTCGAGCACGGCGCGAGCGCCCCGACACCAGCGGAAGAATACAAGCGACGATTTGACACGATTGGACTCGGTGGCGGATCTCGCGCATCACTCTCTCCTCTTACCCCACCTGCCGCTGTCGCCAGCGAGTGAAACCGCAGCAGCGCACGAGTGCGTAACGTACTTCCACGCAGTCGATTACGAGTCTCTCCTCTCTCTCTCTCCTTTCTTTCCCGCCCTACCACTCTCCGCATTCCCTCTCTAATTAAAATACTTTTTCTCTTGTAAAACACATATCCCGAAGGTTATCGCCGAGGTTTCGCTACACTCTCGATGTCTCGATACCTCCTCACGATAGGTTAAATGCGGTTAATTCTAAAAGGAATCTGCTAGAATTTTTTAGACAGAAATGTTGTTTAATTTAAATTATTTAATTTAATTAAATTCAAGATTAAATTCAAATAAGCTACAAAAAAAATGGTATAAAATTCTTTTTAGAATCAGACGCAGCCGGAGGTAGGGATGTAAAGAGATTCTGAGTTCAGTTAAAAGTACACTTTATTCTTCAGCAGAAGTATCAACTATTCATTCTTAAGGCCTACAAAAGTTGAACTGGAAATCGTTCATACCACTGCTGCAGAATGCAGCATGTTCTGTTCTCTGATGACAAAATAAAAAAAGAGAAGTGTCTTTAATCAAATAAGCCAAAGCCCATATCGTCATCCTCGGATTCAGATTCTTCTTTAGCTGGTTTCTTTTCCTCTGTTAAAAGAAATATTCATTATATTCGCACATCAGTATCATTATAAATGTCTTAAATAGAAGCTTATTCTTTTTAGTTGTATTTTTTGCATATTCTTTCTTTTTCCTTTTCTACATCTTGAAGAGAAAAAATAAAATATGCAAAAAATTCAATTAAAAAGGATGATGGATTTTAGAATTAGACTTTTAAAGTTAAAATGATAAACCTACCTTTCTTCTCTTCGGCTGGAGCTGCCGCGCCACCAGTAGGCGTTGCAGGGCTACCAGCAGGGACTGCCCCACCAACTGGCATGGATGATAATTTCTCTCTACCTAGAAATGCAAAACAATTCAGTTCCATTTGGATTACATATACTTCTGAGTAAGAACTGACTTGGTGGGTTTCAGATTCAATCCCCAATGTTTATTCCAAATATGCCTTGGTATTGTAACAGATTAATTAGAAAATCAAAACATTCATTTTTATCAATGCAGATTAAGTTTAATCTTGGTGAATAGGACAGAAGAGAATTAATCTACTTCAGCTTATTTCAAGAAATTTGATTTATAATTAAATAACTTAATAAATATATATTCATCCCCCCTACCTTTAACTTATGTAATTTCTACACAAACTACATACTCTAGCTGTTGTTGTATCCTAAAGTCTACCACTATCACAAAAAGATATATACATTTTCCTTGAACTTATTCTATATACCATAATTTTTTAGTTTCTTATGCATCTTTAATTCTAGACACTCATTAACATCAATATTATTGTAATTTATCAATTAAAAAAATCAATTAAACCAAGACTAAAAAATTAATTTGTATTGATAGAAACAAGCATAAGCATTTTGAGGAATATATCGACATACCCTTGGAAATCAATTCATCTATCGATTTGCCATTCAATTCATTAATGACTTTCTTCAATTTCTCAACATCGGTTTCAATTCCCACTGACGACAGAATTTTTTCAATATCATTCTGGCTTGGCGAGGTCTTGCCTCCCAAAACTGCCAGCATGTAAGCAGCCACGTAACGCATTCTACAAAATAGTATTAAAATACCAATATAAAACAATTTACATAACGTAATTACTTTAAAGGCTAGCAAATTGTACTCAGTAAAAGGGAATGAGGTCATCACAACCATTCAGTCGAAAGATGGTAAATGTGTATAATCATCATGAAATAAGGACTTTAATATATTTATAGACGTTATTATGAAATAACTTCTATAAATATATGTGTGATACATTTAGCTTATACATATAAGAACTATAAACATCATTCGCGTGATCGGAGCGTGACAAAGTGATGTTATATTTAAAATATTGGGTTATGTTCTTTTTGACTGAACTTTTGCACCAGTTCATCCTTTTTCCTTTTCTCTCCAGGAGAAAAACAGATGAACTGATGCAAAAGTTCAGCCAAAAAGAGCAGGCCTATTAATATATGTAGTTGTACCGAACCACATAACCTATTGCTTCTTGACGCGCTCCTATTTTCATCAAATGTTGATGAAATATATATTAATCATACTACTTTCGAAATCATATTATATTATGTTGGCAGATTTAACTGCAATTCGAACAAAAGTGGAAGCGATATTGCATACATATAACGTGTTGGATATTTACGCTTTCGCGTAGACATGATGCATAGAAAGTATCCACCGATATAACGAATTGTAAAGTGCGATCCAACGAAGATGTTAATTAGTTTGATCCGTCGATATTCAGATAATCCGAAACGTAAAATGTTATTGTTTGTAAAGATAATATTCGAATTTAAACATACCTTTAAGTCGTGCGACACGAAACGTGAAACCGCTGGAGCAATATTAAAACGTGTACAAAACTTGCACGGTTGCACCGGAAGGTCCGGAAGTAGTGATGCCGGATTTCGATTCGATACATCGAGAATCGATTCTTTTCCGCATTCAAAAATCGATTTTTCGATCGATTCTAAAGCCCATTCTACATTGGTCGTATCGTAGGCGTCGCAGGTCACAAATTTGTTGCAACAGCCAATCCGATATGTCAATTTAGAAGTCTCACGACGCTTAAGCGGGGAGCACAGACTTTTGCATAACGCATAAACCATATACATAAAGAATTTGATTGGTCCATTGACTCATGCATAAGAAAATGGACCAATGAAATTCCTTATGCACATGCTTTATGCGTTATGCAAAAGTCTGTGCTCCCCGCTTAACGATGCTACGATACGACCAATGTAGTGACCCTCTAATAAGAGTCTGGACACGTGAAGTCCGCCATTATTCGTCGAAATTGTGCGAGAGAGAAAAAATCATGCTATCTCATTCTAGTGGCGCTGTAAGTTGTAGCTGATTGTAGCTCTACAAACTTCATAGTTTCTGTTTCTGTTTCGTCTCGCCTCATGCATCGTATCATTTTTAAGACCAGGACCATTAATATTCGAAGAAGAAGAAGAATCATTATGATTAATATTATTATATTATTATATTATATTATTATATTATTATATTATATATTATTATTATATTATATTATTATATTATTATATTATTATTATATTATTATTATATTATTATTATTATTTATTATTATT